GCTCCGGGCGGGGTCATCTGGCAGTCTCCGGCCACCTAAATTAGGACCCGGAGACTGCCAGATGACCCCGCTCGGAGCGCCGCACACCAGAGCAGCAGTGACGCGACGCTAGGCGAGGTAAGTAAGATGACACCTGGCGCTGACTCGAGTACAAGCCAAGGGGGGCACTTTTCACCCAAAAAAATGGGCTGAAAATCTCGGCTTATACTCGAGTATATACGGTAAAAGTTTAAAGAGTTTTGTGAGAGTTCTTCTTCAACTCTTTTGTTGCCATGAGCCCATTCCTCAAATTAATTAAAGGTCGTCCCTGCAGCTATATTTTCCTAACTCTGTAATTTAGAAATAGTTTCCCTAGAGTTACATTATGCATGTGCAAATATTTATATGTATTGTTTAATGAACAAACCACAGAAGATCTGTTGTGGATTATTTTGTTGCCTAAATGATTGTGTTTTTCTTATATTCATTCCTCAGGTGTCCTGGTTTGCAGTGGGTTGTTACTATCTCATGGTCGGGCATAAAAATGAACATGCCAGAAGGTATCTCAGGTAGGATCTTTATTCATTATGCCTGATATAAGAGCAAATATGTAAATATTTATATCTGTAAATTCAACACAAGATGTCGATATATTTATGCAAACATGTACTAATTCATCAAACCATTGTTTACATTTTAGCAAAGCCACCACATTAGAGAGAAGTTATGGTCCAGCATGGATTGCATATGGACATTCATTTGCGGTGGAAAGTGAACACGACCAAGCAATGGCTGCTTATTTCACAGCAGCACAGCTGATGAAAGGGTAAGATCATTGCTAACCAACAGATTGCAAATAAATGAGGTGTGGTTTTAGACCCAACTGCCTTTTTATATGGTGTAGGTCAGTACTACTGCAATATTTTGACTGCACAGACCAGTAAGATGTCAACAAATCAGTGGCATAATTTATAAACTTGTATGTCTAACTACCAGGTCATGCCAGTGCCGTTCTGTGTGAGCAAGTGACACAACCATGGGGGGTGGCTTCTGGTCTCCTGATTGAAATGCTTGTTGTCTGGCTGTGTCTGACTTTATTGCTTTTGAGTCATAGACCCAGAACATGATATGAATTAGTCAGAATGCCTTATTTCTATACTTGTTCCAGCTCAGAAACCATTGAAGCCAAAGCTTCAGCTTGACAGCCGGGAACTAGCTTTTTCAAAAGGAGAGTTTAACATTGGCAGCCTCCATAAGTCTCAGGTGACTTTATCAAATATAGCTTTACCATTTAGCTCCTTCCTATAGCTTTTCTACTGCAGGATGAAATTATGAAAACAAAACAACTGTGCTTGACTTTGACTTCACCTCCACTTTAGTTTTAATCTACCTTATGCTCTTTGGTTTTTAGAATAGGGAATTGATCTACTTTCCAATCATAATTTTCCTCTTTTTCATTCTGATAATTATTAGGTGAAAAGTAAATATTTGCATTTTGTATCCCCAGTCTACAGGCAGATTATTTTTCAAGTAGCTATGGCCTCCCATTAAAAAGTATGTGCTGCAGCACTTTGTAATACATACATCTGCACCTCCAGCTTTCTGTTCTTCCCCAGTAATACCTGTAGCCCTGTCAGTGAAGTCCACTTAATTCAGCTTTCTGGTGGTGTGGCAACAATGCTACACCTGATCCTGAATTCAGAGAAGCATTGCCATTCTCCTGTAGCTTCAGCCTGCCTGCACTACATGAAAACATGTTGCAGAGGGTGTGTATCAATCAGCACCTGTCCACCCCTAGTCCTGCCCATTGCTTTCTGGATTGACAGCTCTGACTCTGTTGCTGAAAACCTCCCACTGAGCTGCAGTGTCTGGGAGAGGGAGAGTATGGCACACAAATGAAGGAGAATTTTGCTCAGTCAGGGTAAGTATACTTTGTGAGGCTTGTGCATCACTTTGTTGCTGGATCTGGGACTCAATGTCTGGTTTACATTGACAACTTAACATGTCCCTAGTCCAATAAAATGTATTTTAAGTCTTGCACTTATAAAAGAGTTTGCAATATTCAGATCCATGTGTTGCCACTCTAAATCCCCCCCCACCCCTCCAAAACATATCTCCTATGAGCCAGTATATACTGTCCAAGTGCTTAATGTGTTGTTGTGATGATGCTGTTGTGGGAGTGGCACAGTAACTGCATGGGTCCCTCCAAATATCAATAATGTCAAAGCAGGAAGCAAAAAACAACAAAGTATTCCGGTTCATGTTTCAGAAACGTAGTTTACTTTTCTTTACTTTAGTAAAAGCTTCAAATGACTAATTAATGCTTTTATTATTTGTTTGCAGATGTCATTTGCCAATGCTGTATATTGGACTGGAGTATGGCCTGACCAATAATTCCAAGTTGGCAGAAAGATTTTTCAGTCAGGCTTTGAGTATTGCGCCAGAGGATCCATTTGTTATGCATGAAGTTGGTGTGGTGGCATTTCAGAATGGAGAGTAGGTGTCAATGTTTCTTCCTATAATACACTATTAACATTTGCACACCTAGTTTTTTCATATTGTATTTTTAAAGTATAAACAAAGAAATGTGACAACAAATTTAAAGCAGGAGATGGCAAGATAACAAAGTACTTGTCTTCCATTTGTAAAATGGATACACATTATTAGGAACTGTAAGCTTTTAATGGCATGTTGTGGATTATCCTGATTTATCGGAATGTCACTATTTTCACAGCTGGAAAACTGCTGAGAAGTGGTTCTTGGAAGCGCTAGAGAAAATACGAGCCATTGGAAATGAGGTAATTTTCCTCTGATCTGTGGTCATGTTCTCCTAAGCTGAGACACGCTCTTGGGTGAAGTGTTGATATACGTGACCTAGAAGCGAGTCCTGTCAGAACAAACGTGAACGTCATTGGTATGCAAGATAGTGGTTTTTTTAGATCAGTGTTCTTATCCTTTTTTTTCTTTTTGACCTCTCCTCCTGAGGCCTGGCAACTCTTAAACCTTGCCTCTTTCTATCTTCATCCAAGAAGTAAAAACTTTTGATGTGTCTAGAATTTGTACTCCCAATGCAAATTTAAATTTTGATGAATATTTGATTTGACATCAAATTATAGAATGCAAGTTCACATTACCATAATAAAACAAAATACAATGCTAATAAAAATCACAGTGCAAAATAATTTCCATAATTCACATGAATACACACAAGCAAAAAACAATATGTGGGATGATTAAGGTAGTAGAGGCTGTTCTCTAACATCTGTTAGCTGAAATGTAGTAAAATAGTAAGGTGAGGTCAACCCGTATTCACTGTGAATGCCCAGTCATGTATGGCACTGTGACATACATTATGTAGCTCATATATTATGAAACTGAATAGTGAAATAAAGAATGACATTGATTGTCTTGCTTGAGTGGTCTAATTTCTAAGGACCAAAGTCTTCACAAAAACACAGTCTACTGACATGCAGCCTCATGCATTATTACACAGCAGAAATGTAAGTGATGTGGGTCTTATTGAAATATTAATTGTTTGTTTTTTGCAGGTTACAGTGGATAAATGGGAACCTTTGTTAAACAACTTGGGGCATGTACGTAGAAAACTGAAGTAAGTAAAACATTTATAATGCTTCTTAAGTAAAACTGTAAATTAAAAAAAGAGCAAACTAGAAACTTTAGTAGACCATGCTAGAGTAGATTCTGTGCTCCTCATGAAGGATAAAGTTATTTTCTCCTGTTGAGCAATGATCAACAATAGATCTTGGATCACAGCAAGAAATGCAAGGTAACTCTCTTCTATGAGATCTCAGTCCAAACATTGTTCCAGATCCTTCCAAGTTACTTTACAAACACAGGTCAGCAGCAAAGAAAGCCCATGCACAGAATCACTTATTCTTCAATTTTAGATGTGAAGTGTCTTGGTAAACACACCTCCTCTCAGGCATATTCACAAAGACATATAACATGATAATCTTAACTAAGAACACAAATGACAATCCACAACATTTTGAGGTTTTTGTTTTACCTCATTTGATCAAGCATTACAACTTGACATCTTATCAAATTGGCAGAAAATGCAGCAGGCACTCACTGTGTCAAAGGAAATTGCAGACAGCATTTAAAGCCCACCCCCGGTACAATAACAATAAAAATAAATTCTAGCCAGAGTTTAACTTTCAACTAAGTTCAAATGCAAGGCTTTTTCTCCTAAGCGTTTAGTATGGAGGCACTGGATCTGAAAATACTTTGATCTTGCTGTACAAAGTAAAGGCTTTGTCGCACAATGACATGAATCTGGATAGCTAGCTCACATACAGCAAAGGAAGATAGGGCCTTAAAGTGTATTTCCACTTTTGCAACCAAATTGGGATAACACCTATTATACATTTGTTCCATGACTCTCATACGCATAGCATACCTTCATTTATTTTTAAATTGCAACTTGTACAATACATCTTATTATCAGTTGTAAACTAGATTTGAACAACGTCTGTCCTAACAAAGGGTTCAAGATCTAGAAGCATTGTATGTTAATAAGGGGAAGTTCATTCTGTACCTAAGCTTTGTATGGGGGCAACCAGTTTTCTGTCACTTGGAAATTGAGAGAGAAGCTCTATAAGCCTGCTGCACAGGTAAGAAAAGTATACGGTAAAGAAATAACTTTTTTTTTTTAATTATGTTAGATATGTTGTGTGAATAGGAACACATAACCAACATTTACAGGGTTATTCACAAAAGGGTGAAGATTTTGGAGAAGGCAGGAGAAGTGAACAATCTCTAGGACAACATAGCTGAACTGGAAAGTGAGCTGAATTGGAGAATTTTTCCATTTTTATTGTTCAATTCTCCTGCCTTCTCCAAACTATTCACCCTTTTGTGAATAACTGTGATTTAGTGTTTTTTTTTTTTCTTCAAATTTGACTGTAAAAGTGGAAATACACTTTAAGAATTTGCTTTGACAAAATACAAGTGGTACAAAATAAAAGGAGTTCCATACCAATAGTTGGAAGCCCATAAGTATTTATTTTGTAATAGAAGTCCAAAATAAACAAGTCAGTGCATTTTGAGGTTTTTGAAGGGTCCCCCTTCATTAGAAGTGCTCATTGAGATGAAATGATTTTGGGTTTGAAAGGCTTAAAGTGTTAAAAAATTACATTTAACAGCCACATTTAACCACTTGAAGATTTTAGACTTGGGTGATACGCCTTAGAAAAACTGCAACAAAGCCCATGCATGATTGCGGTCGAAAGAAACCTTGTGGTTCCTGTTGCAAAAACATATATCTTTTTTCAGCGATTGCTGCGCAGATGTAACCCCATTGAAATCAATCGGAACGCGTGTCCTTGGATCACCAAAGTCTGCACCCTAGTTTCAAAATGACAGAATTTCTATGTATTAAATGGAAGAAGTGTTTATTAAAATGCAGCCACTCCTGTGTCAAATAACACTTGCAGATAGTTTGCAAGTGTCATTGAGTAATACTAGGGATGCACCGATACCAGTATTTTGGTACCGTTATTTTTTTTTTCTTGCCAATACCGAGTACCGGAAGTCCCATTCAGGAAGCAAGGCGGTGTGTAAAGACTCACCACCCGGCTTCCCGATTAGCATGGGGAAGCCGTCCCCATGCTTCTCGTCACTAGGTGACGAGAAAGCATGGAGCCGGCTTTCTGGCCAATCAGGAAGCCGGGCGCTGTGTAATGACACGGCGTGCGGCTCCCTTATTGGCTGGGAAGCCGGCTCCATGCTCCCTCGTAACGAAGTCGGCTTTCCCGACCAATCGGAAAGCCGGGCACCGCGTCATTACATGGTGCCTGGCTTCCTGATTGGCCAGCTTCCGACCAATAAGGAAGCTGGGCAGTGCATCATTACACAAGTGACGAGAGAGTATGGAGCCGGCCTCCCGGCCAATCAGGAAGCTGGGCACGTGTAATGACGTGCTGCCCGGCTTCCTGATACTAGAAGTATCGGGCTAAGCATCGGAGCATTTGGGCGAGTACAAGTACTCGCCCAAATACTAGGCATAGGCACCGATAATAGTATCGGTGCATCCCGATGTAATACAGTGTAGACATGTATTATTACATTGTATTTACTATCTCATTCATAGATCAATGTGACATCAGCTACATATGACAAAAGTTAAAAAACAACCTTAGAAGTAAAAAAGAAAGTTTTTTTGTTTTTTTATAAATAAAATGTATTCCTATTTAACCCCTCATTAACCTTTTAGTTAACTGTAGTCAGCCCTGATTGCCCTTTTTCATTTGCATGTAACTTTACCAGACTTTCTACTGGAAACATAATTTTAGTGTACTTTTAAAAAGGGCCCATTCTAGAATAAAATGTATCCTGCTTTCTTTTTTTTACAAGTACTATTTTTTTTAAACCTAACACTGGTCACAATAGAAAAAGGCACACCATTGTGCCTTTAGGAAGATGGGGCTGCCTTCAGGTGAGCCCTCTATATTTGTGCATTGCTATAGATGTCCCATAGTTGGCGAAACTCGGATAGTGTAGAGTTAGGGACCACACTTATTAGAGGTGCCTTGACTTGGCTTCCTTGTATATCTGTAGATGTATGTAACTAAAACCTCTGTTTTTAACCTGAATAGGTAAACAGATTAGCTTGTTTTTGTTGCTGGCTAGCTTGAAAGTGTGCTGGAGACTTTGTTTGTACTGTTTTGTATACTGTCCTTACCATGTGCACCTTTTCCCTTTTTGCTAGTTTTTTGAATATAAATGTTTTTATTATTTTCAGCACAAAAACAATAGACGACAATACATAACATTTCAGTATGCGGTGCGCAGACCGTAGTAACGACAATATGGAAGGCAGTGATATTAGCTACATACCGATTGCATTACCTATAGAAAGTTGTTACATGTTTCAGGACTATATCTCTGATCAGGTGGTGAAAGTGATATATACAGCAATCCAGCAGAGCGTACCTTTACCAGTTAGTATCTAGTAACAGCATGTGTATGTACAATACTTCGTGTAGTTGGGATCTTGTCTGAGCCGATTAATTTGTAAATTGTGTATGGTAGAAGGTACACAGGGTGTATTTTTAGTTCTCATAGAAGTTATTAGTGCTATGAAATGTCAGAAGGCGTCAGCAGTCTAACTATTTTAAGGCTAGCATGTAACCGGTCCGTGAGATTTTCAGACAACAGCACTACTGAACTCAGACAGGACGACATTGAGTGGGGTGGACACACAGAGACAGAGGGGGGGGGGGGGGGTTAGGCGGTAGGGAAGAAGGGGAAAAGGAAGGAAAAAATAGATTCGGGCAGAACATTGGCGCCAATGGACTGTGCACTAGTCAGTTACCGTAGGTCAGATTAAATAGTGCATAGGCGATGAGAGGTACCTGGTGTCAAATATTTGTCTATCCACGGGGACCAAGTATTCTCGAATTTGGACATTTTATCACTGAGTTGCGCAGTACGCTTTTCGTGGGCCATAACCCAATGTAAGTCAACCAGTTTTTCGCAATCTCTCGTTTGGTGGAGGTGCAAATATGCATTGATAGGTCGAATTGTCTACGAGACAGATTTTCTGGTTTGCAGTTGAGAAGTGCAAAGTAAGGGTCCTTAGGTACCGGTAGCGAGAACAGAGACGCAAGTATAGTGAATATCCGGTCCCAAAAGTCAGAGACCTGTGTGCAGTCCCACCAGATGTGGAAAAACGAACCTTCTGCGGAACACCCCCTAAAGCAGTTGGGAGAGCTATCAGGGTTGAAGATAGCCACTCTAGTATGCACCAGGTACCAGCGCATGAGTACCTTATAGTTGACCTCCAGCATGCCTACACATCTTGAGCTACTCCTTGTGTTAGCCCAGGATTGTTCCCAGGTTTCGTCTGTCGTAGTCGACTCCAGGTCTTTGTCCCAGCGTGTCACATACGAGGGGGGGGTGTATCTGTGGGGGAGACTAGGATGGCATAGAGGAGCGAGATAAGGCCAGGGCTGTGTGGGTCATCTCGGCAAAGTTTTTCGAAGGGGGACAGTGATCGGGTGTCCGTCTGTTTCGGGAAGGATGTAGTTATATAATTTTTGATTTGAAGATATCGGAATATCTCCGCGTTTGGTAATTGTTTGTGTTCCTGCAAGTGCGGGAAGGATTTCACTCCCGAGTCAGATTGTAGTTGCCAGAAGTAGGTAAGATCTCGTTCAGTCCATGCCTTGAATCTTGATGGGGTAGTCAAGGCAGGGGTAAAGGAGGGATTGTCAAGAATGGACATGAGTGGTAGATGAGGTGAAAGAAGACCATATTGGCTTTTGATGGAGTCCCACAGTCTTAGAGAGTGTGAAGTTATGGGGTTAGTGATGGGAGCCTTTTTGCTAGTTTTAAACAGATCTGAGCAGCTGCCATACTAGTTTTCTTGTAGTAAATCTGTTGCACGATCTCCCTCACTTGCTTTGCCGTGCAATACGATTGTTAAATGTCCCCCAGTGTATGTTTTCATAAAGAGTACCTTCCACCTATATGTCAAATATTCAATTCAGTCACTGCAATCAATGTGTATTCAATTAAAAAACACAAACTTACTAGTCCATGGAGTCCAACAAAGTCTTTCTTGCAACTGACATTTTCCCTGGCCATCATTTTATTTACTGGTTGCTGGATAGTGTTAGCGTCAAGACACAGAAGATGCTATGGCAATCAGTAAACAAGCCATAGCTTTTAGAAGTAGACTCAAAATCTCACGATACCTCAGCAATTTTTTGGCACTTTTTGCCCTTTAGCCTTCTGGGAACGGTTATGTGGATATCCCAGGAGGCTGTGACCGGCCCGAGGGTACCTCATACTTGCCTAGGCAGGAATGTGAATCTAGCTAACACAGGTATTTACCAAACACAAAACAAGAAAATGAAATGTGATTGTGTAAGAGAGAGGGAAAAGCATGGCAATGGCAGCAAGTGCAATACATGGTGAAAGTTCCCCCTATAAAGTATTGCTATGCGTTTTTTACGTTAATGCATTAAGTATAAAAAAATGCCTCAGTACCTTTGCATAGCCTCCATCCCCATGTTCACCGTTGCTGGCTCCAGGACGAGTTCGCTTGTATCCCAAACTTCTGAGTTGTGGAGGGGAGGGGCTCTAAGGATAGGGGAGCGACAGACTGCTGCAGCTGCCTCATAAATTGCTGTGAGGAAGGAACAGGGGCATGGCTTGCCGAGCGTTGTGTTTCAGTGGACGCACACAGCTCAGGACAGGTCCCGAAAACCTAGGCCAGTGCTTTTAATATGTAACTTTCATGTGTACCTAACAAAAAGTTAATAAAAGTTTTTTTTTTTAATTAGTTCTGACCATCATAAATAATCAAAACCTCTATACATTTCCTTTAATACATTGTCCATCCTTATTTTACAGAAAGTATGAAGATGCCTTAGAGTATCATCGTCAAGCCTTAGTCCTGATACCACAGAATGCCTCCACCTATTCAGCTATAGGATATATCCACAGTCTAATGGGAAATTTTGAAAGTGCAATTGATTATTTTCACACAGTAAGTTTTTACCACTGAAACAGAGTATGTATAATCTGACTCCTACATTTAGTGCATCCTACCCCAGATGAGAGGGCAACAAAAGGCACAGTATAAAACTCTGCTGTGCTTCTGCATATAGGCAGTTCTGAAAGTGTTAGTTGTCAAAGTGACATTAAGGAGTTGAATCTTAAAAATGCGTTCAGCTATCTTGTGTATGTATCCTATTTGTGTATCACTCGGCTGTAGATCCTCAAATCATCTCTGAATTGGTGCCGACACTGTCCTTCCTTCTGGAGAGTGGCTGCTTTTATTCCCCATGGTCCCTGTGTATGTTGTAAAGCAGTCACCACTCCAAGCTCTCTTCTGTGATGGACTACAATCTCACGTTTAGTTTGGTCAATACTTTGTATTGAGATTATAGTCTATCACAGGAGTGAGCTTGGAGTGGTGACTACTTTACAATAAGATAAAAAAAATCTGTTAATAGGGTACTTGAATGTATTTTTAAGATTTAATTCCTGAGCTTAGTATCACTTTGAGAGTACATAGACACTTTGTGATACAATACTGAGTATGGCTATGGTTGTACCTGTTTATTAGTATATTGCATATTCTCACATGGAAAGCTGTTTTTGAGATGTTATACTACAGAGCTCAACTAATTCTTTGAGATGGGTCGCCAAAAAATGTATAAAATTACATCTGCCACCCAAGTTGGCTCCTTTAACCCTTGCGCTGCCAATGTGTTGTTTTTTTGGGGGGGGGTTTGCACAAACGTTATAATTAGGGATGCACCGATACCACTTTTTTGGGTCTGAGTACGAGTACCGATACTTTATGATTGGCGGATTGGATGATTGACAGGCTTCCCCACCAATCACGAGTGAGGACAGAGTAATTGAAGGTGGAGTCTGCTTTCGGGCGTTCGGCCATGGAGAAGGAGATCGTGGCCATCTTGAATGAATGCAGACGCGGTCCTGTGTGCTGTGTGCGGCGGTGGAAGATGGCGGACACAGGTACTCGTTTTAGACTTCCGAGCATTTGCACGAGTACGAGTACTCATGCAAATACTCGGTATCGCGGCCGATACCGGTGCTTGTATCGGTATCGGTGCATCCCTAGTTATAATACATACATACATACATACACACATACACATACACACACACATATATACACACACACACACACACACACATTATACATATCTATATATTCTGAAAGCAAAGAACGTGTAGAATAAAATGGTGGCAGTTGCAAATTTTTACATTGCACAATATTAGCGCAACTCTTTTTCAAACCCAAAATGTAAGCTAAAAAATACCTTTAAGTTAATTTTAATGCCCAAAAACATGATATAATACCCAATATTTTAGTAAAATATAGAAGATGAGATTACGATGTGTAAGCGGATATCCAAACATGACGAGGTTAAAAATTGCTGCTTCCGTAAAATGGCGTCAAAATACGGTACCCCAAATTGTCCATAGGTGTCTGTTCAAAAGGGCCCGCTGCCAACGAGGTATGACATACGTTGTCAGGGTTTTTCCCCATAGTTCTCTTTAGGGTAACGGGAGGACATATACTAACCTCCTTCCGTGACCCAAAGCTCAGTATATCGCAGGCTATTGCCCACAATATACTGAGAACGCTACAGCCGGGTGGGATCCCGACAATACTGTCATGATCCACCCAGCTGCGTGATTGACAGCTGGCTCTGACTATCTAGAGGCAGAGCCAGCTGTGCCCGCCCCCTTTGTTTTAAAGTGCACTTATCCTTTTAGTAACATGCAAGTTAGGCAACAAACGGAAAGCACACCAGCACCGTGTGATCCCGCGTGAAAAACTGGTACTCACAAACATTCTTTTACAGCATTCGGCCACTGTCTCTAGGGTGTATCAGCGCTGACTGGTTTCAAGGGCAGACCTTCTGAAGAGGATCTGCTTTTGAAACTGGTCAGCGCTGATACACCTTAGAGACAGTGGCTGCATGCTGTCTAATTAGGATCTAGAACAGGGATTTCTTCCCTGAAGTGAGGATTGAGCAGGTTTCTTCCTGAATGCTATTTTATATGACTGAGAGTTTGTAAAGAACGTTTGTGAGTATCAGTTTTTATCAAGGTTTTATGAATCGCACGATGATGATGCACTTTCTGTTTTGTAAAGTTTTAGAAATATTCCCAGTCTGGGGAAAGCAGTAAAGCCACAGATAGTTTGTATTAGGAAGCAATAAAGCTGTGGATACTGTGTATTACAATCACAACAATAGAAGAGAACATTGACCAGGAAAAGACATGTTTTAAAGTTTGCCTACAATTATATCCCTATAATTATATGATAGGTAGGGGAAAACTCTTTAGTGCCCCCTTCCTTTGTTGCCCTAAGCATGTGCCTTATGGTTAATCCAGCCATGGATAACTTGGAGTGTGATTCGGTGGTGATCAAAGATAGCTGAGAACATGGTAATAGAAAACACTCAGCACAGTTAGAGAACACAAGAAGTTATCAGCTGATAATATCTCTGGTAAGATCAACAGGTATTTTTCTGAACTTGTCAATCAGATAAAACAAAACACTTTCAATGGTATCTTTGATAAAGCAAAATGGACCAAATAGGAGAGATTCATTTTTAGGGTTCACATACATTTTATTATTGCTTGCTTGCTGGCTGCTACATAAGACCCCAATACCCCTGGTATACTGTAATACCATGGCTGCTTGACAGCTTGCTAGATTTTGACATTGCTTGTGTGTTCTCAGCTTCATGTAGAGTGAAGGAAACAAGAATACGTTGGTGTTTTGTGCATTATGCAATTTATATCGGGGTTTTGTTCCATTTCTTGTGATATTTTCTTGATTTCCTTTTTATCCCAAGCTTGATATTTTCAATAGAATTACATCATGCTATATTTCAAGCTTGATCATACATTGCCTTTTATTATGTTGTTTGTATGATTAATCATGTGTTTCCTGTGTTTAAGGCCTTGGGTCTACGAAGAGATGATACCTTCTCAGTTACAATGCTTGGACATTGCATAGAAATGTATATTGGAGACTCAGAAGCATATATTGGTAAGGTTTAATGTATGTTGTCGAATACTAGGCAGTAATGTACAGGTGACACTCGAATAATTAGAATATCGTGCAAAAGTAATTGCAGTAAGTGCTGCAAAAGGGGCCCAAACCAAGTACTGAGTACATATGCATGCGTGTACTTTTCAGAGGTCCGATATTGTTCTATGTACAATCCTTGTTTTATTGATTGCATGTAATAATCTACTTTTTTGAGGTTGTGGATTTGGGGTTCTTGGGGTTTTCATGAGCTGTAAGCCATAATCATCACAATTATGACAAATCACGGCTTGAACTATCTTGCTTTGCATGTAATGAGTCTCTCTCATATATTAGTTTCACCTTTTAAGTTGCATTAGTGAAATAAATGAACTTTGCACGGTATTCTAATTATTCGAGTTTCACCTGTGTATTGGTCATGATTTAGTTAAATGGTGTTTGACTAGTTCAGGCAATCTGATTCCTGTTAAGGGTAAATGTAGCCTTCATTCACTGACAGTGGTGCCCCAGTGCACAGCTGCTGCACTGAATTGTTTCAACCTGAAAGCAAAATGCTATGTGATCCTATTGCTACTAGTTAGGTTTATACAAATTCTAATACCACTCCTCTCCCCACTAATATTTTGAATGGAAGTACATTTTGAGGTTAGATCTCTTTTTAATCCACTTGTCTCTCAGAGTAGGGTTGTGTAAATCTGGTAAATTGTTTTAACAAATATAGTTTGTTTTCTGTTGCTTAGGAACAGAGATCAAGGACAAGTTAAGATGTTATGACTTTGATGTGCACACCATGAAGACTTTGAAGAACATCATTTCTTCTCCCTGGGAGGTTGACATGGAGAGACAGTCTCTTGATGTGAGTGGCATAATGGCCTTAGAGTCTACTAATCTTCTGCCTAAATCATCTGATGCCAGGTCTCCAGTTGAAGAATCTCTTGAAATAGAGATGAACGAGAGCGATATGATGCTCGAAACATCAATGTCCGATCATAGTACATGAGGTTTACATTGTTCTTATTGGGACTTTTTCTTTCACCCTGAAATAAAGATGTTTTATGTAAAGACATACCACTTCCTGCCAAAACTGGGAATGAGCCCCTTGCTTCCCCACAGAGGCACTGGTATTCTGTTGCTAATGACCTGTGTACGTGCCTGTCAGGACTTTGTGAGGGGCATGTTACTCTCCAGGGGTTTTACATTTTTACTGTTAAACATTGTAAAATGCATTCACCTATTATGTTTTGTTGGTTTTTTTTTAACATTCTACTGTGGACTCTATTATGATTGTAATAAAGTGATACATTGTCACATGTCAGATAGAAATTGCATGTGGAATAAAAAAAAAAAGAAAACTTTTTAAATTGAACTTGAAAGGGTGTTTTCTGTCCACAGACCACCCAAGGTGATAATGTGAAATTGCTTTTCTCTGAAATGTACATGTCGCACCAAATGTTTTGCGTGTCTGCAATAAAAACTGAACTAGAAAGGTAGGATTTTTTTATTATAAGTTTTTACATATTAAATGTATCACAAGAACAAGAGCACCGAGTGTGATATGTTTTTTATTCTATCTTTATTTCTCCTCCTTTATAATTAATGTTGTGCACTGTGCTACATTTTCATAATCTGCACCACAGACTAAACCTTGCAGTGTGGAGTTCAATTATTGTGTCTTTCAGATCAATGGTACTTGTGCTTGCAGAGTTCTCCTAAATCATCTGAAATGCACTGGAAAGGAAATGTTTAACAGTACAGAAACAGTAACTATGCAGGTTAAAATTGGAACTTTTTTTTATGATGGGGGTCACTGCTGATCTGGGAGTTCACCGATCTTTTCTGAAACTTAAGCCGGCCATACACCTATAAATTGTCTACATATTTTCTATGGTCAGATGGAAAAAGTGCAACAGATCAAGAAGGGAATGTTTTGCAGGGACAAGTCTATAATTTTGCCACTTTACACATCACTGGTTCGGCCTCACCTGGAGTATGCGGTGCAGTTTTGGGCACCGGTACACAGAAAGGATGTCCTTGAGCTGGAGGGAGTCCAGCGGAGGGCAACTAAACTCATCAAAGGGATGGAGGACCAGAACTATGAGACAAGGCTACTAAATTTAAATATGTTCACACTGGAAGTAAGGAGATTAGCAACAAACTCTTTACGACTAATTACGTAACAAAGACTAGAGGCCACCACCTGAAACTGGTAGAAAAAAAATTCAAACACAAGGGGCGAAGGGGGTTCTTCTCAGTTCGCGCGGTTAGGGTCTGAAACTCGTTGCCACAAGCAGTGATTTCAGCTAATAGTGTGGATTCGTTCAAGAAGCATTTGGACGATTTCCTGAGAAACGGCAATATACAGGGGTACAGGTACTCCTAATAACGAGATGACACAGGGACCCATACACACACACACAATAGGTTGGACTTGATGGACATATGTCTTTATTCAACCTCAAATACTATGTAATTCCTCCATCTACGCTAAAGTGCGCGGATGGAGGAATCTCTCACTGGGCCAAGCTTCAGTATCTTGCTCGGCCCTGCTGGCTGTCAAAATACCTGAATAATCTGATTGGATGCTAGCATTGTTCAGGTATTTTGAGAGCCAGCGGGGCCGACTAGCAAGATACTGAAGCTTGGCCCAGTGGAAGGTTCCTCCATCCACACAGTTTAGTGTAGATGGAGGAATCTGCTGCACTTTTTCCATCTTACCATAGAAAATATGCACATAATCTATAGATGTATGGCCAGCTTTAGTAGAAGAATAATATATTTCCTGCTCAAGCTCTCCGAAAAAGCTCAAAGAATGCCACTGACTGTGGAAGACTTTTGCAAGTTCAGTTTTAAAGGGGCTGAATTTTAAATCTTAAGTCCAGCGTATAGCTGGGCAAATGCTGTTCACACTGCATGACCACCACTACATAGAGTATTGGAGTTTTTATGCACCTCACTTCCATCTAGTTGTTATGCCTTTTGAACGACATTCACCCAGCTATACTTTGGATGGAAGATATATAAGTCAGCCCCATAGTGTAACTCACTCTATCTAAAGATGACTGTACTTGGAACATGGTTAGTGGTTAGTTACTCATACACTGTGGTTTTGCAGGTAATTCTTATCCCCTGCTGAAACCACAGAAAGTGATGAAACGTATTGTTTTTTAATTTATAGTTTAGTTATAAAAAGAGTTCACTATGTGAGAGATTTCATTGCTCCAAGCTGAATAGGGATACTGAAGAGGAGGGACAGGATATGCCAGTTGAATAGTTAGAGAGATCTTCTGTTCTGTTTATTTTCTTTCTATTATTACAGTGAATGATGGATAAATGAGTATAGGTATCAAATTGAGGATGACAAAAGGCTCTGCCATACAGTAAAGGAAGAATCCGGCTGCACTGCGTTCCACGCTGAATCAGTTTATTGAAACGCAGAGTCCTGCCCGAGGTCCGCTCCCTCTGGGCAGGACTCTGTGTTACTTACAAATCTTCAAGAAACTGATTCAGCATGGAACGGAGTGCAGCCATGTCCTTCCTTTACTATATACTTGTTTGGAGGAAGCGAGAGCCCACTCCTGCCAGTGAGCACCTGGCTGCCTTACCCTTGCTAAAGCCGTGGAGGAGCGGTGCTTTATTCCTATGGCTCTGAGACTTGCATGTGAGGGATAAAGTGATGTGTGACTATTGCTACTCTGCCAACTGCCATACCATAGGCTAACCAATAGGTAGACCTTTATCAATTCTGTCGCACAGAACGGCAGTGCTAAACAGGAGCATTGAGACAGATATATACTACAAGGTTACAGCTTGATTCATAAATTCCTCTTGCAGCCGCTCTAAAGTAGCACTGTGACAGAATGAAACCAGACCCTTAGCACTTCTTAATTGTGCAGTGAAAATCAGTTTCATCTACAATGATAAATATGTCTCAGACCGGTGCAAATCTGTTGCAGTTGGTTGCCCAGGATTACGGCACAGGAGTTGTAAATACACAGAAAACGTTTTGCAGAGACTTTGCTAAGTGAGAGGCAGCCTAATAGTGTCACTAATGTGCTTGATGAATGTACCCCATATTGTTTCAGGAGAGTGTATAACAGTATCACATCATAACCTGTGATTAAAAGCATTGTAAACAACTACAAGTCATGGTGTTTGCTACTGTTATGGTTACTTTGTAGCTTGAGAATAGCCTTTGTCTTGTTCACGCGTATTGTCACGGCTGAATAAGCGCGCCAAAATGCTTGACAAAAAATTCCCATTCTTATGGCCCCTGTTCACACCTAAGCGTTTGGTCACAATAAGCAAAACGCTTTGTCGCTGAAAAATTTGTTAATAACCCTTCAGAGCCATTTGGCTTTTTCTGTGATACCAGCGCTCAATTCAATATGGCGAATATCCTATTTGTAATGCACATGTACAGCCATAAGACTCAACAATTCGGGGGTCAGACCCTTCCTTCAAGTGACTGGCTTAGCTTTTGGAAGCACTCTTGCTCCCAAAATATCTTGTGTTAACTCTGTGCTTGTGCTTTACCAATCAATGGAATATTCTTAATGTGTGTTGGTTCACCTTTTCTCTGAATATGCTGTGCTCACCCCAATCAGCTATATTTTACAGGCTATTTGTGTTTAGAAAATATAGACCACTCTAGTCTGCTCTAGAACATGAGTGAAAGGGATATCTGATTGTTAAATGCGGGAAAATGTTAAATGTGTGTTGTAATCCAGTGGCGAAACTATCGCCATAGCGACACAGGCGGCTGCTATGGGGCCTGGGGCACAGGGGGGCCTGGCCAGGATGAGGAACAAAGGGGCCCCCCTGATGCCGCGTGGGCCGCCTGCGTCGTTATGGCATCTAAAGCTGCTGACTGTCACTGGCGGCTGTGAGAAGGAACGTGCCGCTGTTCAGATCACTGACAACTTGTCAGTGATCTGTGCAGCGGCACGTTCCTCCTCACAACCGCTGCTGAGTCGGTGACGGCCAGCGGAGGAGGAGGGGCCCAGCGGTGGAGAAGACTGACAGCGGATCGGGGCTGACAGGTAAGAGGTGTGCAGGGGTGTGACCAGCCCACCTGAGACCCTGCAGAGCCCACCATAGAGAATCTATGGTGGGCTCTGCAGGGTCACTTTCAGGTGGCTGAGTGGGATCTCAGGTGCGCTCTGCAAGGAGCATAACTAGAAATCACAGGACCCCATACAAAATTTTGCTATGGGGCCCTCTGATTTCTAGTTACGCCTCTGATGCAATCTAAAGAAAAAGAGAAGTCAGTGGGACTCGAATCGTTATACCAATATGTCTTTTTATTAATGCACATTGACGTTATCACAAAGCAAAGGATGTTTCGGGCCCCATGGGGCCCCTTCATTAAGCAATCATCACATTGTATGCCTGATGAAAGGACTATATGTGGTCCTGAAAAATTGTTTGCTTTGCAATAATGTGAATGTGTGTCAATAAAAAAAATTAGTATCACAACTGGAGTGCTGGTGCCTTCTCTTTTTCTTCAGAATTTACTAACGCGGTGCCAACCTCTGGTCACTGCAGCACCCACTATTGATTATATTGGAATTCTATGGTAACGAGTGTGATGGGATATGTGCAATAATGATAGACACACACTCTACAGAGTTTCACCCAGAGCTGTTTTTGCACCCCTGATTTGTAGTGTGTGTTTCCACCATTTAAAAATGATATATTTGATGGTAAATACGTATGTCAATACTTTTTCATACATTCTCAGCATTAGTCCTACCACAGGTTTGTTGGTTACTTTTATACATTGTAGTTGGGAGCACTAATGGAAATCCCACCAGTAATGTAACTGGCTTGTGAGTTGCAAAAAGCTGTTAGCTGCTTACCTTGAATGAACTCTGTATGAAGACACATAAATGCCAAGTTTGCAAAATGTCCCAGGTTTTGAAGGTTTGATTATTAGATTTAAAATGCCCTACCATTTTGTATTATTTATTTATTACGTTCAATTCCTCAGTGAAAGCAAGAGCAATAACAGCATATTAAAGTGACATGTTTCGTGTCTCTCATGTTTAGTTTATTAATTTGTACTGAGATTGCAGTCCATCATAGGAGTGAGCTTGGAACGGTGACTACTTTACAACACACACAGGGACCATGGGGAACAAAAGTAGCCACCCTCCAGAAGGAAGGACAGTGTCGGCACCAATTCAGAGATCATTTGAGGATCTACAGCTGAGCGATACACAAATAAGATACATTTTTGTTAATAGTTAAGGTACTTGAATGTATTTTTATGATTTAATTCATGAGTTTAGTGTCACTTTAAGCTCCAGCAGATTCAGACTGTCTGCTCCCCA